GTGTGGGTGAGTAAGTTAGTGGGTGAGTGAGTGGTTGAGTGAATGTGTGGGTGAGTGAGTGGGTGAGTGAGTGGGTGAGTGGGTGAGTGATTGAGTGGGTGAGTGGATGGGTGCGTGGGTGAGTGGGTGGGTGAGTGAGTTGATGGGTGAGTGTATGGGTGAGTGGGTGGGTGAGTATGTGGGTGAGTGGGTGAGTGAGTGGGTGGGTGGGTGAGTGGGTGAGTCGGTGAATGAGTGTGTGGATGGGTGAGTGAGTGGGTGAGTGGGTGGATCAGTGGGTGAGTGGGTGGGTGAGTTAAGTGGGTGGGTGTGGGTGAGTAAGTGAGTGGGTGAGTGGGTGAGTGGGTGAGTGAATGTGTGGGTGAGTGATTGAGTGGGTGAGTGAGTGGGTGAGTGAGTGAGTGGGTGAGTGGGTGAGTGGGTGAGTGAGTGAGCGGGTGAGTGATTGAGTGGGTGAGTGAGTGGATGGGTGGGTGGGTGAGTGGGTGGGTGAGTGAGTGAGTGGGTGAGTGGATGGGTGAGTTAAGTGGGTGGGTGAGTGAGTGAATGGGTGGGTGGGTGAGTGGGTGGGTAAGTGGGTGAGTGAGTGAGTGGGTGAGTGAATATTTGGGTGAGTGGGTAGATGAGTAGGTGAGTGAGGGAGTGGGTGAGTGAGTGGGTGGGTGGGTGAGTGGGTGGGTGAGTGAGTGGGTGAGTGAATGTGTGGGTAAGTGAGTGGGTGAGTGGGTGGGTGAGTAGGTGAGTAGATGGGTGGGTGGGTGAGTGGGTGGGTGAGTGAGTGGATGGGTGAGTGAGTGGGTGGGTGAGTAGGTGAGTGGGTGTGGGTGAGTTAAGTGGGTGGGTGTTGGTGAGTGAGTGGGTTAGTGGGTGGATGGGTGGGTGAGTGGGTGGATGGGTGAGTGAGTGGGTGAGTGGATGGAAGGATGAATGGGTGAGTGGGTGAGTGAGTCAGTGGGTGAGTGTGTGGATGGGTGAGTGGATGGTTGATTGGGTGATTGAGTGGTTGAGTGGATGGGTGGGTGGATGAGTGGGTGGGTGAGTGAGTGGATGGGTGAGTGGATGGGTGAGTGGGTGGGTGAGTGGATGGGTGAGTGGGTGAGTCGGTGAATGAATGTGTGGATGGGTGAGTGGATGGGTGAGTGAGTGGGTGAGTGGGTGGATCAGTGGGTAAGTGGGTGGGTGAGTTTAGTGGGTGGGTGTGGGTGAGTAAGTTAGTGGGTGAGTGAGTGGTTGAGTGAATGTGTGGGTGAGTGAGTGGGTGAGTGAGTGAGTGGGTGAGTGGGTGAGTGATTGAGTGGGTGAGTGGATGGGTGCGTGGGTGGGTGAGTGAGTGGATGGGTGAGTGTATGGGTGAGTGGGTGGGTGAGTATGTGGGTGAGTGGGTGAGTGAGTGGGTGGGTGAGTGGGTGAGTGGGTGAGTCGGTGAATGAGTGTGTGGATGGGTGAGTGAGTGGGTGAGTGGGTGGATCAGTGGGTGAGTGGGTGGGTGAGTTAAGTGGGTGGGTGAGTGGGTGAGTGAATGTGTGGGTGAGTGATTGAGTGGGCGAGTGGGTGAGTGAGTGAGTGAGTGGGTGAGTGGGTGAGTGGGTGAGTGAGTGAGTGAGCGGGTGAGTGATTGAGTAGGTGAGTGAGTGGATGGGTGGGTGGGTGAGTGGGTGGGTGCGTGAGTGGGTGAGTGGATGGGTGAGTTAAGTGGGTGAGTGAGTGAGTGAATGGGTGGGTGGGTGGGTGAGTGGGTGGGTGAGTGGGTGGGTGAGTGAGTGGGTGAGTGAATATGTGGGTGAGTGGGTGGATGAGTAGGTGAGTGGGTGGGTGAGTGAGGGAGTGAGTGGGTGGGTGTATGGGTGAGTGGGTGGGTGAGTATGTGGGTGAGTGGGTGAGTGAGTGGGTGGGTGAGTGGGTGCGTGGGTGAGTCGGTGAATGAGTGTGTGGATGGGTGAGTGAGTGGGTGAGTGGGTGAGTGAGTGAGTGAGCGGGTGAGTGATTGAGTGGGTGAGTGAGTGGATGGGTGCGTGGGTGAGTGGGTGGGTGAGTGAGTGGGTGAGTGGATGGGTGAGTTAAGTGGGTGGGTGAGTGAGTGAATGGGTGGGTGGGTGGGTGAGTGGGTGGGTGAGTGGGTGGGTGAGTGAGTGGGTGAGTGAATATGTGGGTGAGTGGGTGGATGAGTAGGTGAGTGGGTGGGTGAGTAAGTGGGTGAGTGAATGTGTGGGTAAGTGAGTGGGTGAGTGGGTGGGTGAGTAGGTGAGTAGATAGGTGGGTGGGTGAGTGGGTGGGTGAGTGGATGGGTGAGTGAGTGGGTGGGTGAGTAGGTGAGTGGGTGTGGGTGAGTTAAGTGGGTGGGTGTTGGTGAGTGAGTGGGTTAGTGGGTGGATGGGTGGGTGAGTGGGTGGATGGGTGAGTGAGTGGGTGAGTGGGTGGGTGAGTGGGTCGAAGGGTGAATGAGTGAGTGGGTGAGTGAGTCAGTGGGTGAGTCTGTGGATGGGTGAGTGAGTGGATGGTTGATTTGGTGATTGAGTGGGTGAGTGGATGGGTGGGTGGATGAGTGGGTGGGTGAGTGGATGGGTGAGTGGATGGGTGAGTGGGTGGGTGAGTGGGTGGATCAGTGGGTGAGTGGGTGGGTGAGTTAAGTGGGTGGGTGTGGGTGAGTAAGTGAGTGGGTGAGTGAGTGGGTGAGTGAATGTGTGGGTGAGTGAGTGCGTGGGTGAGTGAGTGGGTGAGTGAGTGGATGAGTGAATGTGTGGGTGAGTGAGTGGGTGAGTGAGTCAGTGGGTGAGTGGGTGAGTGATTGAGTGGGTGAGTGGATGGGTGCGTGGGTGAGTGGGTGGTTGAGTGGGTGGGAGTGTATGTGGGTGAGTGGGTGAGTGAGTGGATGGGTGAGTGGGTGAGTCGGTGAATGAGTGTGTGGATGGGTGAGTGAGTGGGTGAGTGGGTGGATCAGTGGGTGAGTGGGTGGGTGAGTTAAGTGGGTGGGTGTGGGTGAGTAAGTGAGTGGGTGAGTGGTTGAGTGAATGTGTGGGTGAGTGATTGAGTGGGTGAGTGAGTGGGTGAGTGGGTGGGTGGGTGAGTGGGTGAGTGAATAAGTGGTCTATAATGTACAGTATGTGCTGTACAGTATATAATGTGCAGTTTATAGTGTACATTATATAATGTACAGTATGTAATGTGCAGTATATAATGTATAGTATATACTGTACAGTCTGTAATGTACAGTCGTTAATGTACAGTCAGTAATGTACAGTCTATAATGTAAGTCTGTAATGTACAGTATGTAATGTACAGTCTATAATGCACAGTCTGTAATGTACAGTCTATAATGTACAGTGTATACTGTGCAGTCTATAATGTACAGTTTGCAATGTAGAGTTTGTGATGTACAGTCTATAATGTACAGTCTATAATGTACAGTTTGTAATGTGCAGTCTATAATGTACAGTCCATGGTGTACAGTCTATAACGTACAGTCCGTAATGTACAGTCCGTAATGTACAGTATATAATGTACAGTGTGTAATCAGTCCATACAGTTTCTAGCCTCGCACCAATCCATCAACGATGCGACGGTCGCCTAGCAACGCGGCGGCTGCGGTCGCCTAGCAACGCGGCGGCTGCGGTCGCCTAGCAACGCGGCTGCGTCTGCGGCCGCGGTCGCTTAGCAACGCGGCGGCGGAAGTTGTGGCAGCGGCGGCGGAAGTGGCGGTCGCCATAGCGACGCTGAGGGGGAGGGTCTGAGGCCTAGTCAACGGACGCGGCCGTCTCCTGCGGGGCTCTCCAGGCGAGGCCCGCCACGAGCGTCAAACGCCGAGAGGAGGGAGGCGTGAGGGTGGTGGTGGTGGTGGTTGTGGTGGTGGTGGTGGTTGTCGTGGTTGTTGTGGTGGTGGTGGTGGTTGTTGGTAGTGGTGGTAGTGGTGGTGGTGGTTGTGGTGGTGGTGGTGGTTGTGGTGGTTGTGGTGGTGGTGGTAGTGGTGGTAGTAGTGGTGGTGGTGGTAGTGGTGGTAGTGGTAGTGGTGGTAGTGGTGATAGTGGTTGTTGTGGTGGTGGTGGTTGTGGTGGTGGTTGTGGTAGTGGTGGTGGTTGTTGGTAGTGGTGGTAGTGGTGGTAGTAGTGGTTGTGGTGGTGGTAGTGGTGGTTGTGGTGGTGTTAGTGGTGGTAGTGGTGGTGGTGGTAGTGGTGGTAGTGGTAGTAGTGGTGGTTGTTGGTGGTGGTTGTGGTGGTGGTTGTGGTGGTGGTAGTCGTGGTTGTGGTGGTGGTAGTGGTGTTAGTGGTGGTAGTGGTGGTGGTGGTAGTGGTGGTAGTGGTAGTAGTGGTGGTTGTTGGTGGTGGTTGTGGTGGTGGTTGTGGTGGTGGTGCGACTGAGAAGGGTTTTGGACTCCTTCATTCAACGACCCATGTCGACCCAGGCGCTACTGAGGAGTGGGGGGCACGGCGGGTTCAGTGGTGGGGGGCCTGGCGAGAGTGGGGGGCAGCCGGGCGTGTTGAGTAGTGGGGGGCAGGGTGGTGGGGGGCACCTGGGCGTGTTGAGTAGTGGGGGGCACCCGGGCGTGTTGAGTAGTGGGGGGCAGCCGGGCGTGTTGAGTAGTGGGGGGCAGGGTGGTGGGGGGCAGGGTAGTGGGGGGCAGCCGGGCGTGTTGAGTAGTGGGGGGCAGGGTAGTGGGGGGCAGCCGGGCGTGTTGAGTAGTGGGGGGCAGCCGGGCGTGTTGGGTAGTGGGGGGCAGGGTGGTGGGGGGCAGGGTAGTGGGGGGCAGCCGGGCGTGTTGAGTAGTGGGGGGCAGGGTAGTGGGGGGCAGCCGGGCGTGTTGAGTAGTGGGGGGCAGCCGGGCGTGTTGGGTAGTGGGGGGCAGGGTGGTGGGGGGCAGGGTAGTGGGGGGCAGCCGGGCGTGTTGAGTAGTGGGGGGCAGGGTAGTGGGGGGCAGCCGGGCGTGTTGAGTAGTGGGGGGCAGCCGGGCGTGTTGGGTAGTGGGGGGCAGGGTGGTGGGGGGCAGGGTAGTGGGGGGCAGCCGGGCGTGTTGAGTAGTGGGGGGCAGGGTAGTGGGGGGCAGCCGGGCGTGTTGGCGGTGCTTCGCGAGGCGCTCCACAAAGTCGTCAGCGTCGTGGCCAACACCGCCTGGGACGAGAGCGCGTGAGTGGTCTACTGTATGTGTGTACTGTATGTACTGTATGCACTGTATGTACTGTCTGTGTGTGTACTGTCTGTACTGTCTCTGTGTGTACTGTCTGTGTGTACTGTCTGTACTGGCTGTGTGTACTGTCTGTGTGTACTGTATGTGTGTACTGTCTGTGTACTGTCTGTGTACTGTCTGTGTGTACTGTCTGTGTGTACTGTCTGTGTACTGTCTGTGTGTACTGTCTCTGTGTGTGCTGTCTGTGTGTACTGTCTGTGTGTACTGTGTGTACTGTCTGTGTGTACTGTATGTACTGTCTGTGTGTACTGTCTCTGTGTGTACTGTCTCTGTGTGTACTGTCTCTGTGTGTACTGTCTGTGTGTACTGTCTGTGTCTACTGTCTCTGTGTGTACTGTCTCTATGTGTACTGTCTCTGTGTGTACTGTCTCTGTGTGTACTGTCTCTGTGTGTACTGTGTGTGTGTACTGTCTCTGTGTACTGTCTCTGTGTGTACTGTCTCTGTGTGTACTGTGTGTGTACTGTCTCTGTGTACTGTCTCTGTGTGTACTGTCTCTGTGTGTACTGTGTGTACTGTCTGTGTGTGTACTGTCTGTACTGTCTCTGTGTGTGTACTGTCTATGTGTACTGTATGTACTGTCTGTGTATACTGTCTGTACTGTCTGTGTGTACTGTCTGTACTGTCTGTGTGTGCTGTCTGTGTGTGTACTGTCTGTACTGTCTCTGTGTGTGCTGTCTGTGTGTGTACTGTCTGTACTGTCTCTGTGTGTACTGTCTGTACTGTCCGTGTGTGTACTGTCTGTGTGTACTGTCCGTGTGTGTACTGTCTGTGTGTACTGTCTGTACTGTCTGTACTGTGTGTACTGTCTGTACTATTTGTGTGTACTGTCTGTGTGTACTGTCTGTACTGTCTGTGTGTACTGTTTGTGTGCACTGTCTGTACTGTCTGTGTACTGTCTGTACAGTCTGTACTGTCTGTCTGTACTGTCTGTACTGTCTGTATTGTCTGTGTGTACTGTGGGTACTGTCTCTGTGTGTACTATATGTGTGTGTACTGTCTCTGTGTGTACTGTCTGTGTGTACTGTCTGTGTGTGTACTGTATGTGTGTACTGTCTGTACTGTCTATACTGTCTGTGTGCACTGTGTGTACTGTCTCTGTGTGTACTGTATGTGTGTGTGTACTGTCTCTGTGTGTACTGTCTGTGTGTACTGTCTGTGTGTGTACTGTATGTGTGTACTGTCTGTACTGTCTGTACTGTCTGTGTGTACTGTATGTGTGTGTACTGTCTCTGTGTGTACTGTCTGTGTGTGTACTGTATGTGTACTGTCTGTACTGTCTGTGTGTACTGTGTGTACTGTCTCTGTGTGTACTGTATGTGTGTGTACTGTATGTGTGTGTACTGTTTCTGTGTGTACTGTCTGTGTGTACTGTCTGTGCGCACTGTCTGTGTGTACTGTGCGCACTGTCTGTGTGTACTGTCTGTAATGTCTGTCTGTACTGTCTGTAATGTCTGTGTGTGTACTGTCTGTGTGTACTGTCCGTGTGTGTACTGTCTGTACTGTCTGTACTGTGTGTACTGTCTGTACTATTTGTGTGTACTGTCTGTGTGTACTGTCTGTACTGTCTGTGTGTACTGTTTGTGTGCACTGTCTGTACTGTCTGTGTACTGTCTGTACAGTCTGTACTGTCTGTCTGTACTGTCTGTACTGTCTGTATTATCTGTGTGTACTGTGGGTACTGTCTCTGTGTGTACTATATGTGTGTGTACTGTCTCTGTGTGTACTGTCTGTGTGTACTGTCTGTGTGTGTACTGTATGTGTGTACTGTCTGTACTGTCTGTACTGTCTGTGTGCACTGTGTGTACTGTCTCTGTGTGTACTGTATGTGTGTGTACTGTCTCTGTGTGTACTGTCTGTGTGTACTGTCTGTGTGTGTACTGTATGTGTGTACTGTCTGTACTGTCTGTACTGTCTGTGTGTACTGTATGTGTGTGTACTGTCTCTGTGTGTACTGTCTGTGTGTACTGTCTGTGTGTGTACTGTATGTGTACTGTCTGTACTGTCTGTGTGTACTGTCTCTGTGTGTACTGTATGTGTGTACTGTCTGTACTGTCTGTGTGTACTGTGTGTACTGTCTCTGTGTGTACTGTATGTATGTGTACTGTCTCTGTGTGTACTGTCTGTGTGTAATGTCTGTACTGTCTCTGTGTACTGTCTGTGTGTGTACTGTGTGTACTGTGTGTGTACTGTCTGTGTGTACTGTCTCTGTGTGTACTGTATGTGTGTACTGTCTGTACTGTCTGTGTGTACTGTGTGTACTGTCTCTGTGTGTACTGTATGTATGTGTACTGTCTCTGTGTGTACTGTCTGTGTGTAATGTCTGTACTGTCTCTGTGTACTGTCTGTGTGTGTACTGTGTGTACTGTGTGTGTACTGTCTGTGTGTACTGTCTCTGTGTGTACTGTCTGTGGACTGTCTCTGTGTGTACTGTCTGTGTGTACTGTCTCTGTGTGTACTGTGTGTACTGTCTGAGTGTGTACTGTCTGCACTGTCTGTGTGTACTGTCTGTGTGTACTGTCTGTGTGTACTGTCTGTGTGTACTGTCTGTAATGTCTGTGTGTACTGTCTCTGTGTGTACTGTCTGTGTGTGTACTGTCTCTGTGTACTGTCTCTGTGTGTACTGTCTCTGTGTGTACTGTCTCTGTGTGTACAATCTGTGTACTGTCTCTGTGTACTGTCTCTGTGTGTACTGTCTCTGTGTGTACTGTCTGTGTACTGTCTGTGTGTGTACTGTCTGTACTGTCTCTGTGTGTACTGTCTCTGTGTACTGTCTCTGTGTGTACTGTCTCTGTGTGTACTGTCTCTGTGTACTGTCTCTGTGTGCTGTCTCTGTGTGTACTGTCTGTCTGTACTGTCTCTGTGTACTGTCTCTTTGTACTGTCTCTGTCTGTACTGTCTGTGTGTGTACTGTCTCTGTGTGCTGTCTCTGTGTACTGTCTGTGTGTGTACTGTCTATGTGTGTACTGTCTCTGTGTACTGTCTGTGTGTGTACTGTCTCTGTGGGTACTTTGTGTACTGTCTGTGTGTGTACTGTCTGTGTGTGTACTGTCTCTGTGTGTACTATCTCTGTGTATACTGTCTGTACTGTCTCTGTGTGTACTGTTTCTGTGTGTACTGTCTGTACTGTCTCTGTGTGTACTGTCTCTGTGTGTACTGTCGCTGTGTACTGTCACTGTGTGTACTGTGTGTACTGTCTCTGTGTACTGTCTCTGTGTGTACTGTCTGTGTGTGTACTGTGTACTGTCTCTGTGTGTACTGTCTGTGTACTGTCTCTATGTGTACTGTCTGTGTGTGTACTGTCTCTGTGTGTACTGTCTCTGTGTGTACTGTCTCTGTGTGTACTGTATGTGTGTACTGTCTGTACTGTCTGTGTGTACTGTGTGTACTGTCTCTGTGTGTACTGTATGTATGTGTACTGTCTCTGTGTGTACTGTCTGTGTAATGTCTGTACTGTCTCTGTGTACTGTCTGTGTGTGTACTGTGTGTACTGTGTGTGTGTACTGTCTGTGTGTACTGTCTGTGTACTGTCTCTGTGTGTACTGTCTGTGTGTACTGTCTCTGTGTGTACTGTGTGTACTGTCTGCGTGTGTACTGTCTGCACTGTCTGTGTGTACTGTCTGTGTGTACTGTCTGTGTGTGTACTGTCTGTGTGTACTGTCTGTACTGTCTGTGTGTACTGTCTCTGTGTGTACTGTCTGTGTGTGTACTGTCTCTGTGTACTGTCTCTGTGTGTACTGTCTCTGTGTGTACTGTCTGTGTACTGTTTCTGTGTACTGTCCCTGTGTGTACTGTCTCTGTGTGTACTGTCTGTGTACTGTCTGTGTGTGTACTGTCTGTGCTGTCTCTGTGTGTACTGTCTCTGTGTACTGTCTCTGTGTGTACTGTCTCTGTGTACTGTCTCTGTGTGCTGTCTCTGTGTGTACTGTCTGTCTGTACTGTCTCTGTGTACTGTCTCTGTGTACTGTCTCTGTCTGTACTGTCTCTGTGTGTACTGTCTCTGTGTGCTGTCTCTGTGTACTGTCTGTGTGTGTACTGTCTATGTGTGTACTGTCTCTGTGTACTGTCTGTGTGTGTACTGTCTCTGTGTGTACTGTGTGTACTGTCTGTGTGTGTACTGTCTCTGTGTGTACTGTCTGTACTGTCTCTGTGTGTACTGTCTCTGTGTACTGTCTGTACTGTCTCTGTGTGTACTGTCTCTGTGTACTGTCACTGTGTGTACTGTGTGTACTGTCTCTGTGTACTGTCTCTGTGTGTACTGTCTGTGTGTGTACTGTGTACTGTCTCTGTGTGTACTGTCTGTGTACTGTCTCTATGTGTACTGTCTGTGTGTGTACTGTCTCTGTGTGTACTGTCTCTGTGTGTACTGTCTGTGTGTACTGTGTGTACTGTCTGCGGGTGTACTGTCTGTGTGTACTGTATCTGTGTGTACTGTCTGTACTGTCTCTATGTGTACTGTCTGTGTGTGTACTGTGTGTACTGTCTCTGTGTGTACTGTCTGTGTACTGTCTCTGTGTGTACTGTCTGTGTGTGTACTGTCTCTGTGTGTATTGTCTGTACTGTCTGTGTGTACTGTCTGTGTGTGTACTGTCTGTGTGTACCGTATCTGTGTGTACTGTCTCTGTGTGTACTGTCTGTGTGTACTGTCTCTGTGTGTACTGTCTCTGTGTGTACTGTCTGTACTGTCTGTGTGTACTGTCTCTGTGTGTACTGTCTGTACTGTCTGTGTGTACTGTCTGTGTGTACTGTCTGTGTGTACTGTATCTGTGTGTACTGTCTCTGTGTGTACTGTCTGTGTGTACTGTCTCTGTGTGTACTGTCTCTGTGTGTACTGTCTGTACTGTCTGTGTGTACTGTCTCTGTGTGTGCTGTATCTGTGTGTACTGTCTCTGTGTGTACTGTCTGCACAGGGCGGAAGTGCATGGTGTGGACCAGCTGCGGTGCCTGGAGCAGCAGTACACGGACTCCCTGCAGACAGACGACAAATCACAGGAACACGTTAGTACTGTGTGTGTACTGTGTGTGTGTACTGTGTGTACTGTGTGTGTGTACTGTGTGTACTGTGTGTGTGTGTACTGTGTGTACTGTGTGTGTACTGTGTGTGTACTGTGTGTACTGTGTGTGTACTGTGTGTACTGTGTGTACTGTGTGTGTACTGTGTGTGTGTACTGTGTGTGTACTGTGTGTGTACTGTGTGTGTGTCTGTGTGTGTGTATCTGTGTGTGTGTACTGTGTGTGTGTACTGTGTGTACTGTGTGTGTGTGTACTGTGTGTACTGTGTGTGTACTGTGTGTGTACTGTGTGTACTGTGGGTGTACTGTGTGTACTGTGTGTACTGTGTGTGTACTGTGTGTGTGTACTGTGTGTGTACTGTGTGTGTACTGTGTGTGTACAGTGTGTGTACTGTGTGTACTGTGTGTGTGTACTGTGTGTACTGTGTGTGTGTGTACTGTGTGTACTGTGTGTGTACTGTGTGTGTGTGTGTGTACTGTGTGTGTGTACTGTGTGTACTGTGTGTACTGTGTGTGTGTACTGTGTGTACTGTGTGTACTGTGTGTGTACTGTGTGTGTGTACTGTGTGTGTGTACTGTGTGTGTGTGTGTACTGTGTGTGTGTACTGTGTGTACTGTGTGTACTGTGTGTGTACTGTGTGTGTGTACTGTGTGTGTACTGTGTGTGTGTACTGTGTGTGTACTGTGTTTGTACTGTGTGTGTATACTGTGTGTATACTATGTGTGTGTACTGTGTGTGTGTACTGTGTGTACTGTGTGTACTGTGTGTCTGTACTGTGTGTGTACTGTGTGTGTATACTGTGTGTACTGTGTGTGTACTGTGTGTGTACTGTGTGTACTGTGTGTGTACTGTGTGTGTGTACTGTGTGTACTGTGTATGTACTGTGTGTGTACTGTGTGTGTACTGTGTGTATTGTGTGTGTGTAATGTGTGTACTGTGTGTGTACTGTGTGTACTGTGTGTACTGTGTGTGTGTACTGTGTGTACTGTGTGTGTGTAATGTGTGTGTACTGTGTGTGTACTGTGTGTACTGTGTGTGTGTACTGTGTGTACTGTGTATGTACTGTGTGTGTGTACTGTGTGTGTACTGTGTGTACTGTGTGTGTACTGTGTGTGTACTGTGTGTGTACAGTGTGTGTACTGTGTGTGTGTACTGTGTGTACTGTGTGTGTGTGTACTGTGTGTGTACTGTGTGTGTGTACTGTGTGTGTACTGTGTTTGTACTGTGTGTGTATACTGTGTGTATACTATGTGTGTGTACTGTGTGTGTGTACTGTGTGTACTGTGTGTCTGTACTGTGTGTGTACTGTGTGTGTATACTGTGTGTATACTGTGTGTACTGTGTGTGTACTGTGTGTGTGTACTGTGTGTACTGTGTGTGTGTACTGTGTGTGAACTGTGTGTGTACTGTGTGTGTGTACTGTGTGTACTGTGTATGTACTGTGTGTGTACTGTGTGTGTACTGTGTGTACTGTGTGTACTGTGTGTGTGTACTGTGTGTGTGTACTGTGTGTACTGTGTGTGTGTAATGTGTGTGTACTGTGTGTGTACTGTGTGTACTGTGTGTGTGTACTGTGTGTACTGTGTATGTACTGTGTGTGTGTACTGTGTGTGTGTACTGTGTGTACTGTGTGTGTGTACTGTGTGTACTGCATGTACTGTGTGTGTGTACTGTGTGTACTGTGTGTGTGTACTGTGTGTGTACTGTGTGTGTACTGTGTACTGTGTGTGTGTACTGTGTGTACTGTGTATGTACTGTGTGTGTACTGTGTGTGTACTGTGTGTGTGTACTGTGTGTACTGTGTGTACTGTGTGTGAACTGTGTGTGTGTACTGTGTGTGTGTACTGTGTGTACTGTGTATGTACTGTGTGTGTACTGTGTGTGTACTGTGTGTACTGTGTGTGTGTAATGTGTGTACTGTGTGTGTACTGTGTGTACTGTGTGTACTGTGTGTGTGTACTGTGTGTGTGTACTGTGTGTACTGTGTGTGTGTAATGTGTGTGTACTGTGTGTGTACTGTGTGTACTGTGTGTACTGTGTGTGTGTACTGTGTGTACTGTGTATGTACTGTGTGTGTACTGTGTGTGTACTGTGTGTGTACTGTGTGTGTACAGTGTGTGTACTGTGTGTGTACTGTGTGTACTGTGTGTGTGTGTACTGTGTGTGTACTGTGTGTGTGTACTGTGTGTGTACTGTGTTTGTACTGTGTGTGTATACTGTGTGTATACTATGTGTGTGTACTGTGTGTGTGTACTGTGTGTACTGTGTGTCTGTACTGTGTGTGTACTGTGTGTGTATACTGTGTGTATACTGTGTGTACTGTGTGTGTACTGTGTGTGTGTACTGTGTGTACTGTGTGTGTGTACTGTGTGTGTACTGTGTGTGTGTACTGTGTGTACTGTGTATGTACTGTGTGTGTACTGTGTGTGTACTGTGTGTACTGTGTGTGTGTACTGTGTGTGTGTACTGTGTGTGTGTAATGTGTGTGTACTGTGTGTGTACTGTGTGTACTGTGTGTACTGTGTGTGTGTACTGTGTGTACTGTGTATGTACTGTGTGTGTGTACTGTGTGTGTGTACTGTGTGTACTGTGTGTGTGTACTGTGTGTACTGCATGTACTGTGTGTGTGTACTGTGTGTACTGTGTGTACTGTGTATGTACTGTGTGTGTACTGTGTGTGTACTGTGTGTACTGTGTGTGTGTAATGTGTGTACTGTGTGTGTACTGTGTGTACTGTGTGTACTGTGTGTGTGTACTGTGTGTGTGTACTGTGTGTACTGTGTGTGTGTAATGTGTGTGTACTGTGTGTGTACTGTGTGTACTGTGTGTACTGTGTGTGCTGTGTATGTACTGTGTGTGTGTACTGTGTGTGTACTGTGTGTGTACTGTGTGTGTACTGTGTGTGTACAGTGTGTGTACTGTGTGTGTGTACTGTGTGTACTGTGTGTGTGTGTACTGTGTGTGTACTGTGTGTGTGTACTGTGTGTGTACTGTGTTTGTACTGTGTGTGTATACTGTGTGTATACTATGTGTGTGTACTGTGTGTGTGTACTGTGTGTACTGTGTGTCTGTACTGTGTGTGTACTGTGTGTGTATACTGTGTGTATACTGTGTGTACTGTGTGTGTACTGTGTGTGTGTACTGTGTGTACTGTGTGTACTGTGTGTGTGTACTGTGTGTGAACTGTGTGTGTGTACTGTGTGTGTGTACTGTGTGTACTGTGTATGTACTGTGTGTGTACTGTGTGTACTGTGTGTGTGTACTGTGTGTGTGTACTGTGTGTACTGTGTGTGTGTAATGTGTGTGTACTGTGTGTGTACTGTGTGTACTGTGTGTGTGTACTGTGTGTACTGTGTATGTACTGTGTGTGTGTACTGTGTGTGTGTACTGTGTGTACTGTGTGTGTGTACTGTGTGTACTGCATGTACTGTGTGTGTGTACTGTGTGTACTGTGTGTGTGTACTGTGTGTGTACTGTGTGTGTACTGTGTACTGTGTGTGTGTACTGTGTGTACTGTGTATGTACTGTGTGTGTACTGTGTGTGTACTGTGTGTACTGTGTGTGTGTACTGTGTGTACTGTGTATGTACTGTGTGTGTGTACTGTGTGTGTGTACTGTGTGTACTGTGTGTGTGTAATGTGTGTGTACTGTGTGTACTGCATGTACTGTGTGTGTGTACTGTGTGTACTGTGTGTGTGTACTGTGTGTGTACTGTGTGTGTACTGTGTGTGTACTGTGTGTACTGTGTGTGTGTACTGTGTGTACTGTGTATGTACTGTGTGTGTGTACTGTGTGTGTGTACTGTGTGTACTGTGTGTGTGTAATGTGTGTGTACTGTGTGTACTGCATGTACTGTGTGTGTGTACTGTGTGTACTGTGTGTGTGTACTGTGTGTGTACTGTGTGTGTACTGTGTGTACTGTGTGTGTACTGTGTGTGTGTACTGTGTGTGTGTACTGTGTGTGTGTACTGTGTGTACTGTGTGTGTGTACTGTGTGTGTTCTGTGTGTATACTGTGTGTACTGTGTGTGTACTGTGTGTACTGCATGTACTGTGTGTGTGAACTGTGTGTACTGTGTATACTCTGCGTGTGTACTGTGTTTACTGTGTGTGTACTGTGTGTACTGTGTGTACTGTGTTTACTGTGTGTATACTGTGTGTGTACTGTGTGTGTACTGTGCGTGTACTGTGTGTGTGTGTGTGTGTCCTGCATGTACTGTGTGTCAACTGTGTGTGCTGTGTGTGTGTACTGTGTGTACTGTGTGCTGTGTGTGTATTGTGTGTGTCTACTGTGTGTATACTGTGTGTGTACTGTGTGTGTACTGTGTGTGTGTACTGTGTGTGTGCACTGTGTGTACTGTGTGTACTGTGTGTGTGTACTGTGTGTGTACTGTGTGTACTGTGTGTGTGTGCTGTGTGTGTGCTGTGTGTACTGTGTGTGTATACGGTGTGTGTACTGTGTGTGTACTGTGTGTGTGTACTGTGTGTGTACAGTGTGTGTACAGTGTGTGTACTGTGTGTACTGTGTGTGTACAGTGTGTGTACGGTGTGTGTACTGTGTGTGTACAGTGTGTGTACGGTGTGTGTACTGTGTGTACAGTGTGTGTACTGTGTGTACTGTGTGTACAGTGTGTATAGTGTGTGTACAGTGTGTGTACTGTGTGTACTGTGTGTGTACAGTGTGTGTACGGTGTGTGTACTGTGTGTGTACTGTGTGTACAGTGTGTGTACTGTGTGTGTACAGTGTGTGTGCTGTGTGTACTGTGTGTACAGTGTGTGTACTGTGTGTGTACTGTGTGTGTACAGTGTGTGTACGGGGTGTGCACAGTGCGTGTATTGTGTGTACAGTGTGTGTACAGTGTGTGTACAGTGTGTGTACAGTGTGTACTGTACGTGTGTACTCAGCGTGCTCTCCGTCAGGCCCTCATCACCTCTCTGCGTCTCCATCTGCGAGACCCCCAGCGGCCCCTCCCCTCGTCCCCACACCGCGACCGGGACGCCTCTAGGTACGCTGAGCCAGAAACAGTCTGGGGTGAGCGTCTGTGGTGAGTGTCTGTGGTGAGTGTGGTGAGTGTCTGTGGTGAGTGTCTGTGGTGAGTGTGGTGAGTGTCTGTGGTGAGTGTCTGTGGTGAGTGCCTGTGGTGAGTGTCTGTGGTGAGTGTCTGTGGTGAGTGTGGTGAGTGTGGTGAGTGTCTGTGGTGAGTGTCTGTGGTGAGTGTGGTGAGTGTATGTGGTGAGTGTCTGTGGTGAGTGTCTGTGGTGAGTGTCTGTGGTGAGTGTCTGTGGTGAGTGTCTGTGGTGAGTGTGGTGAGTGTCTGTGGTGAGTGTCTGTGGTGAGTGTCTGTGGTGAGTGTGGTGAGTGTCTGTGGTGAGTGTGGTGAGTGTCTGTGGTGAGTGTCTGTGGTGAGTGTCTGTGGTGTCTGTGGTGAGTGTCTGTGGTGAGTGTCTGTGGTGAGTGTCTGTGGTGTCTGTGGTGAGTGTCTGTGGTGAGCGTCTGTGGTGAGTGTCTGTGGTGAGTGTCTGTGGTGAGTGTGGTGAGTGTCTGTGGTGAGTGTCTGTGGTGAGCGTCTGTGGTGAGCATCTGTGGTGAGTGTCTGTGGTGAGTGTCTGTGGTGAGTGTCTGTGGTGAGTGTGGTGAGTGTCTGTGGTGAGTGTCTGTGGTGAGTGTCTGTGGTGAGTGTGGTGAGTGTGGTGAGTGTCTGTGGTGAGTGTCTGTGGTGAGTGTCTGTGGTGAGTGTGGTGAGTGTCTGTGGTGAGTGTGGTGAGTGTCTGTGGTGAGTGTCTGTGGTGAGTGTCTGTGGTGTCTGTGGTGAGTGTCTGTGGTGAGTGTCTGTGGTGAGTGTCTGTGGTGTCTGTGGTGAGTGTCTGTGGTGAGCGTCTGTGGTGAGTGTCTGTGGTGAGTGTCTGTGGTGAGTGTGGTGAGTGTCTGTGGTGAGTGTCTGTGGTGAGCGTCTGTGGTGAGCATCTGTGGTGAGTGTCTGTGGTGAGTGTCTGTGGTGAGTGTCTGTGGTGAGTGTGGTGAGTGTCTGTGGTGAGTGTCTGTGGTGAGTGTCTGTGGTGAGTGTGGTGAGTGTGGTGAGTGTCTGTGGTGAGTGTCTGTGGTGAGTGTGGTGAGTGTCTGTGGTGAGTGTCTGTGGTGAGTGTGGTGAGTGTCTGTGGTGAGTGTCTGTGGTGAGTGTCTGTGGTGAGTGTGGTGAGTGTCTGTGGTGAGTGTCTGTGGTGAGTGTCTGTGGTGAGTGTCTGTGGTGAGTGTCTGTGGTGTCTGTGGTGAGTGTCTGTGGTGAGTGTGGTGAGTGTCTGTGGTGAGTGTCTGTGGTGAGTGTCTGTGGTGAGTGTCTGTGGTGTCTGTGGTGAGTGTCTGTGGTGAGTGTCTGTGGTGAGTGTCTGTGGTGAGTGTGGTGAGTGTCTGTGGTGAGTGTCTGTGGTGAGTGTCTGTGGTGAGTGTGGTGAGTGTGGTGAGTGTCTGTGGTGAGTGTGGTGAGTGTCTGTGGTGAGTGTCTGTGGTGAGTGTCTGTGGTGAGTGTGGTGAGTGTCTGTGGTGAGTGTCTGTTGGTGAGTGTGGGTGAGTGTCTGTGGTGAGTGTCTGTGGTGTCTGTGGTGAGTGTCTGTGGTGAGTGTGGTGAGTGTGGTGAGTGTTTGGGGTGAGTGTCTGTGGTGAGTGTCTGTGGTGAGTGTCTGTGGTGAGTGTGGTGAGTGTCTGTGGTGAGTGTCTGTGGTGAGTGTGGTGAGTGTCTGTGGTGAGTGTCTGTGGTGTCTGTGGTGAGTGTCTGTGGTGAGTGTGGTGAGTGTGGTGAGTGTTTGGGGTGAGTGTCTGTGGTGAGTGTCTGTGGTGAGTGTCTGTGGTGAGTGTCTGTGGTGGGTGTGGTGAGTGTCTGTGGTGAGTGTCTGTGGTGAGTGTCTGTGGTGAGTGTGGTGAGTGTCTGTGGTGAGTGTCTGTGGTGAGTGTGGTGAGTGTCTGTGGTGAGTGTGGTGAGTGTCTGTGGTGAGTGTCTGTGGTGAGTGTGGTGAGTGTCTGTGGTGAGTGTCTGTGGTGTCTGTGGTGAGTGTCTGTGGTGAGTGTCTGTGGTGAGTGTCTGTGGTGAGTGTCTGTGGTGAGTGTCTGTGGTGAATGTCTGTGGTGAGTGTCTGTGGTGAGTGTCTGTGGTGTCTGTGGTGAGTGTCTGTGGTGAGTGTCCTGTGGTGTCTGTGGTGAGTGTCTGTGGTGAGTGTCTGTTGGTGAGTGTGGTGGTGGTCTGTGGTGAGTGTGGTGAGTGTCTGTGGTGAGTGTCTGTGGTGAGCGTCTGTGGTGAGTGTCTGTGTGAGGTGTGGTGAGTGTCTGTGGTGAGTGTCTGTGGTGAGTGTCTGTGGTGAGTGTGGTGAGTGTGTTGTGTGTCTGGGGTGAGTGTCTGTGGTGAGTGTCTGTGGTGAGTGTCTGTGGTGAGTGTCTGTGGTGAGTGTGGTGAGTGTGATGAGTGTCTGGGGTGAGTGTCTGTGGTGAGTGTCTGTGGTGAGTGTCTGTGGTGTCTGTGGTGAGTGTCTGTGGTGAGTGTGGTGAGTGTGATGAGTGTATGGGGTGAGTGTCTGTGGTGAGTGTCTGTGGTGAGTGTGGTGAGTGTGATGAGTGTCTGTGGTGAGTGTCTGTGGTGAGTGTCTGTGGTGTCTGTGGTGAGTGTGGTGTGTGTCTGTGGTGAGTGTCTGTGGTGTCTGTGGTGAGTGTCTGTGGTGAGTGTCTGTGGTGAGTGTCTGTGGTGAGTGTCTGTGGTGAGTGTGGTGAGTGTCTGTGGTGTCTGTGGTGAGTGTCTGTGGTGAGTGTCTGTGGTGAGTGTCTGGGGTGAGTGTGGTGAGTGTCTGTGGTGAGTGTCTGTGGTGAGTGTCTGTGGTGAATGTCTGTGGTGAGTGTCTGTGGTGTCTGTGGTGAGTGTCTGTGGTGAGTGTCTGTGGTGAGTGTCTGTGGTGAGTGTGGTGAGTGTATGTGGTGAGTGTCTGTGGTGAGTGTCTGTGGTGAGTGTGGTGAGTGTCTGTGGTGAGTGTCTGTGGTGTCTGTGGTGAGTGTCTGTGGTGAGTGTCTGTGGTGAGTGTCTGTGGTGAGTGTGGTGAGTGTGATGAGTGTCTGTGGTGAGTGTCTGTGGTGAGTGTCTGTGGTGTCTGTGGTGAGTGTGGTGAGTGTCTGTGGTGAGTGTCTGTGGTGTCTGTGGTGAGTGTCTGTGGTGAGTGTCTGTGGTGAGTGTCTGTGGTGAGTGTCTGTGGTGAGTGTGGTGAGTGTCTGTGGTGTCTGTGGTGTGTGTCTGTGGTGAGTGTCTGTGGTGAGTGTCTGGGGTGAGTGTGGTGAGTGTCTGTGGTGAGTGTCTGTGGTGAGTGTCTGTGGTGAATGTCTGTGGTGAGTGTCTGTGGTGTCTGTGGTGAGTGTCTGTGGTGAGTGTCTGTGGTGAGTGTCTGTGGTGAGTGTGGTGAGTGTATGTGGTGAGTGTCTGTGGTGAGTGTCTGTGGTGTGTGTGGTGAGTGTCTGTGGTGAGTGTCTGTGGTGTCTGTGGTGAGTGTCTGTGGTGAGTGTCTGTGGTGAGTGTCTGTGGTGAGTGTGGTGAGTGTATGTGGTGAGTGTCTGTGGTGAGTGTCTGTGGTGAGTGTGGTGAGTGTCTGTGGTGAGTGTCTGTGGTGAGTGTCTCACTCATTTGTACCCACCCCCCCACCACCACCCCCCCACCACCACCCCCCCACCACCACCCCCCACCACCACCCCCCCACCACCACCCCCCCACCACCACCCCCCCACCACCCCCCAGGGTGTTGGTGAGCTCCCTGCAGGCTCTGTGTACCCAGCTGGGCCCCTGCCGCCCTGCCCACGTGGGGTGGTCTGGGAGGGGGCGGTGTATGGGCGGTGGCGGTGAGCCCCGGGCCCCCGCCTTGGGGGGGCTCACGGAGCCTGCAGCTCTGGAGGCAGAGCTGCAGGCAGCTCGAGCGGACGCCCTGGCGCAGGTGGGTGGGGGGGGGGGGGGGTCCGGAACGTCGGGCTTCGCGGTATTTGTGGGTGTTGTTGTTGTTGTGGGTGTTGTTGTTGTTGTGGGTGTTGTTGTTGTGGCTGTTGTTGTTGTCGTGGTGGTTGTGGTGGTTGTCGTGTGGTGGTTGTCGTTGTGGTTGTTGTGGTGGTTGTTGTGACTGTCGTTGTGGTTGTTGTTGTGGTTGTTGTGGCTGTTGTTGTGGTGGTTGTTGTCGTGGTTGTTGTTGTGGTGGTTGTTGTGGCTGTTGTTGTGGTGGTTGTGTTGGGTGATGTTGTGGTTGTTGTTGTGGCTGTTGTTGTGGTGGTTGTGGTGGTTATTCTGGTGGTCGTTGTGGTGGTTGTTGTGGTTGTTGTGGCTGTTGTTGTGGTTGTTGTTATGGTGGTTGTAGTGGTTGTTGTTGTGGTGGTTGTTGTGGTTGTTGTTGTGTCTGTTGTTGTGGTGGTTGTAGTGGTTGTTGTTGTGGTGGTTGTTGTTGTGGTTGTTGTTGTGGTTGTTGTGGCTGTTGTTGTGGTGGTTGTTGTCGTGGTTGTTGTTGTGGTGGTTGTTGTGGCTGTTGTTGTGGTGGTTGTGTTGGGTGATGTTGTGGTTGTTGTTGTGGCTGTTGTTGTGGTGGTTGTGGTGGTTATTCTGGTGGTCGTTGTGGTGGTTGTTGTGGTTGTTGTGGCTGTTGTTGTGGTTGTTGTTATGGTGGTTGTAGCGGTTGTTGTTGTGGTGGTTGTTGTGGTTGTTGTGTCTGTTGTTGTTGTGGTGGTTGTGGTTGTTGTTGTTGTGGTTGTTGTTGTGGTTGTTGTGGTGGTTGTTGTTGTGGCTGTTGTGGTTGTTGTTGCGGGTGTTGTTGTTGTGGTGGTTGTTGTTGTGGCTGTTGTGGTTGTTGTTGTGGGTGTTGTTGTGGGTTTTGTTGTGGTTGTTGTGGTGGTTATTGTGGTTGTTGTTGTGGTTGTTGTGGTGGTTGTTGTTGTGGCTGTTGTGGTTGTTGTTGTGTGTGTTGTGGTGGTTGTTGTTGTGGCTGTTGTGGTTGTTGTTGTGGGTGTTGTTGTTGTTGTGGGTGTTGTTGTGGTTGTTGTGGTGGTTATTGTTGTGGCTGTTGTGGTTGTTGTTGTGGGTGTTGTTGTGGTTGTTGTGGTTGTTGTAGTTGTTGTTGTTGTTGTGGTGGTTGTTGTTGTGGGTGTTGTAGTTGTTGTTGTGGTTGTGGTAGTTGTTGTGGTGGTGGTTGTTGTAGTTGTTGTTGTTGTTGTGGTTGTTGTTGTGGTTGTTGTAGTTGTTGTGGTTGTTGTTGTGGTTGTTGTGAGTGTTGTTGTTGTAGTTGTGAGTGTTGTTGTAGTTGTTGTTGTAGTTGTTGTTGTGGTTGTTGTGAGTGTTGTTGTTGTAGTTGTGAGTGTTGTTGTTGTGGTTGTTGTGGTTGTTGTTGTGGTTGTGGCTGTAGTTGTAGTTGTTGTTGTGGGTGTTGTTGTTGTGGTGGTTGTTGTTGTTGTTGTAGTTGTGTTTGTGGTTGTAGTAGTTGTTGTTGTGAGTGTTGTTGTTGTAGTTGTTGTAGTTGTTGTAGTTGTTGTAGTTGTTGTTGTTGTTGTTGTGAGTGTTGTTGTAGTTGTAGTTGTTGTGGTTGTGGTTGTGAGTGTTGTTGTTGTAGTTGTTGTAGTGGTTGTTGCGGTTGTTGTACTAGTTGTTGTTGTAGTTGTTGTGGTTGTTGTTGTTGTTGTTGTTGTTGTGAGTGTTGTTGTGGTTGTTGTTGTAGTAGTAGTTGTTGTAGTTGTTGTTGTGGTTGTAGTTGTTGTAGTTGTTGTTGTAGTTGTTGTTGTTGTTGTGAGTGTTGTAGTTGTTGTTGTGGTTGTGAGTGTTGTTGTAGTTGTTGTAGTTGTTGTTGTTGTTGTGAGTGTTGTTGTTGTAGTTGTTGTTGTTGTTGTAGTAGTTGTTGTTGTAGTAGTTGTTGTTGTGAGTGTTGTTGTTGTAGTTGTTGTTGTGAGTGTTGTTGTTGTGAGTGTTGTAGTTGTTGTTGTTGTTGTTGTGAGTGTTGTAGTTGTTGTTGTTGTGGTTGTTGTGAGTGTTGTGGTTGTAGTTGTAGTTGTTGTTGTTGTTGTGGTTGTGGTTGTAGTTGTTGTAGTAGTTGTTGTTGTTGTTGTGAGTGTTGTTGTTGTGAGTGTTGTTGTTGTAGTTGTTGTTGTGGTTGTGGTTGTAGTTGTTGTAGTAGTAGTTGTTGTTGTGAGTGTTGTTGTTGTAGTTGTTGTAGTTGTAGTTGTTGTTGTTGTGAGTGTTGTTGTAGTTGTTGTTGTTGTTGTGGTTGTGAGTGTTGTAGTTGTAGTTGTTGTTGTGGGTGTTGTAGTAGTAGTTGTAGTGGTTGTTGTTGTTGTTGTTGTAGTTGTTGTGAGTGTTGTTGTGGTTGTGGTTGTAGTTGTAGTTGTTGTTGTGGTTGTTGTTGTTGTGAGTGACGCCCTTTCGCAGGTGCGGTGGGGGGGGGTCGCTGACTCGTCGGACTTGGCGGAGTCCGTGTCGTCATCGCTGCTCTCACTGCAAGCCCCGCCCCTCACATCCCCCCCCTCGCCCCTCCCCTCACATCCCCCCCCGCCCCTCCCCTCACACCCCCCGCCCCCTCCCCTCACACCCCCCCTCGCCCCTCCCCTCACACCCCCCCCCCGCCCCCCCCCCAGACCAGTGAGCTACATCAGCGAGCTGCGTCTCTCCGCACAGCCCTCCGCTCGGTGGGGGCGGCCCCCCCCAACCCGGGGGGCCCCGAGGGGGCCCTGGGGGCCACGGGGGCCCTGGGGGGTCCCTGGGGGCCCAGGCTGGGTCCCTGGGGGCCCAGGCTGGGGCCCTGGGGGCCCAGGCTGGGGCCCTGGGGGCCCAGGCTGGGGCCCTGCGTGCTCAGGGCATGGAGGAGCGGACAAAGCACCGGCACACAGAGACAGCGCTAGCTAAGGTGGGGGGGTGGTGGTGGTGGGGGGGGTGGTGGGGGGGGGGTGGTGGGGGGGTGGTGGGGGGGGGAAGGGGGAGGGGCGTGGGTGTGGGGAGTGGTGGTGCAGTGGTTAGCACCGCGCTTCTAACCCGGGGCGACTACCCAAGTTGGATTCCCGCTCACCACCACCACCACCAGCATCACCACCACCACCACCATCACCACCACCATCACCATCACCACCACCACCATCACCATCACCACCACCATCACCACCACCACCACCATCACCACCACCACCACCACCATCACCACCACCATCACCACCACCATCACCACCATCACCACCACCACCACCATCACCACCACCATCACCATCACCACCATCACCACCATCACCACCATCATCACCACCACCATCACCACCACCATCACCACCACCACCATCACCA